ATATATATACATATACATATATATATATACATATACATATATATATACATATACATATATATATATATATACATATACATATATATATATATATATATATACACACACACACATACTAAAATAAACTACTTTAAATTTATGAGAAGCTTTAGTTAAGTTACATGTGAAGACAGCACCATATTTTCATTTGTTCCACAGTTCTGCTTAGAAATTCCCTGACGATCTGACAGATGATGGGCCAACCAACCTGAGCTGTCTTCTTTCATCAGACCATTTTTGTTCCTCTCCTCCCAGTCGATCACCTCTTCATAAATGAGTTCTGTGTGGGAACAGAAAATGTTATGAGCTGTCACTGTGAACTGAAATGTAGCTGTAGGGATTTCAGTTCAGACCTGAGGTTGTGCAATGTCACAAATTAGTCACAATTGATATTTAGCTTTTCTCAGCCTTGTTCACACCAACATTCTGCCTGTCAATAATATTAGACATTATTATCTCGTGCTATTTTTCCAGACGGTTATAAAGGAAAAAAAAACAAAAAACACTCCAATTGCAGTTACTTTGAATTTTTACAAACATTTAAAAATAAAGTAAATCTGTTATTTTTACTTTAAAACATGATTTCTGATTTTAGGTTTAGAAATATAATAAAAGTGAATGTTTTCCTCTTGCTGCAATTGTTTACACACACAGATTGATTTATTACTCCTCTGAGGGTTCAGTGAAACATTGCTCCACACAAATAATCAAATAAATGAATGTAACTTTGCTTTATTCAGGGTCTACTTCCCAGTTACACCCCATAAGAGCAATAAACTCCCTACAAATACAGATCACTTATTCTTAATGTTTTTCACAAGTAAAGGTTCATGTTCAAGTTTTACATACACAACAAAGAAATCTCATATTGTAAGTAAGATTTCAGTTTCATCTGCTAATATACACCAAAATGCAGTTGTAGTGCTAACCTGTGTCCCTAGAGGGCAGCATATCTCACCTTTCCATTGTTCTATGGTGTGCTCTCTCTCCTCCAGCTGCTTATCTGAAATCTGGGGAGGAGGCTAAAAACAAAAAGGAAAGTTATAAATCAGGTCATTTACAGCTACGGCACTGCTACAGCGTGTCGCCAGCTGAGAGGAACCGTCTTCTCACCGCGTCTGCCTCTGCGGGGTCGTACCACACGTGAATGTAGGGGTGATGCAGGGCTTCTTCTACAGAGATACGGCATTCTGGATCAACGACCAGCATTTTGGAGAGCAAGTCTCGGGCTTGACACGCTGTTTGGGCAACACAGGAAGGGCTGAGTTCATATGAAAACAAGTGCCTGACATAATTTCATAAAGGGGATCTGGAGGAAAACTGATCAATTTCCTGTTCAGTGCAGAGCAGCGCTCTGAATGCATTAGTTTGAAACGTACTTGTTCCTTTAGAAAATGTCTCGTTATATAAATTAAACTAGCACCAGTAAAATCAACTGTCACTGGTAACAAAAAAATAAAAACATTAAAAAAACTAATAAAAGTTTAGTGTATTTCGGTGCATGAGGTTCTTACTCTTTAGTTTGTCGTGTTCTGAATCAGAGGGAAACGCCCAGTCCGGGAAAAGCTCGGCGAAGCTGACGCCTGCATACTGAGGCTTGTTCATCACGTAGTTCCTGACGGTCTCCATCAGTCGGTTCATAAACTCTAGACTGGGCGTTCCCAGAATCTCAATCACCTTATTCCACTGGTCGATGTCTGAACAACATTTCTGTTATGGAAAAGTACGGACCACATATGGCACACTGTGAAAGCAAACAAGTCTAAAAGTAATGAAAGAATCATCTGTAAGAAGACAAGAATATATTTTTATATTGGCGTCTCAGTGGAGCTAGCATAAAAAGGCTTGCATGCAAATACGACTATAAAGCCACTCTTTTGTTAGGGAGGTATAATATTTACTAAGTTTATCTTAGTTTAATATGCAAGCATGATAATGTCTCTGGTAATAATCCCAAAAAGGAGGGTATGCTTGAAAAAAAAGGTCCAGTTTTAAAAGTATTTTGTTTGAAATCAAGGAGGACAAATTTAAATAATGATATGGTAATGTTGACAAGTGCATACACTCATATTTAAAACATATAAAACAGTTGCAAAAACTAAAATATTTCTATTTTTTTTTTGTTTTCTAAGGGAACAATAATGAATTTGTTCCAAATTTTGTGCAGATTCCTCAAGCGGAAGTTGCAGTTCTTCATTTTGTACACGTGTGGCGCATGAACAAAATGAGCACAGTCCACACAACCATTTTAGAGTGGCTAAAAACACAGATGGACTTGATGAGCTGCTGGCTCACAACTGGAGAAGGTAATTACGTCTTCAGGATGAAAGGCAATCTAACCCTCACGCTTCTGCTCCTTGTTCAATCTCAGCGACTCGGCTACTAATGAGTTTGCTGATGAATGAGAGGACCAAACGGATGAGAAACAGAGACACAAACACTATACGTGCAAATGAAATGCTTCGATCTGATTCCCTCTAACAATTAAGAGAATTACAGAAGCACGAGCTTGCAGATTAATAATCACTGAAAAGAAAAGAGAACAGATGATGTGATGCATTCAATAATCCAAGTGGATACATCTAACAAGGGTGAGTCGGTTCCTCTGGAAGGATCTTTGTTCAAAATGACGCCTGCTGTAAATAATTTTTAATGTAAATGGTGCGTTTGGAGGACATGGGGAAACACAGCTCTGACAGAGGTCTGATAAATGTGAGGGATGCAAGAACAACGAGACGATGAGAGAAGTGAAGGATACGATCGGTGCCCTGGAAGATGACGCTGCCCTTTACCATTTCTCCCATGATGCACCCCACTGACCAGATGTCCACTGGAAACAGAGAACACACACAGTGACACACAAACACACACAAATATGACACATACAACCACACAAAGATATTATGAAACCAAAAATACAGCGACATCAGGTTTACAGTAAAATGACATGAATGAGGCATGGTTTCAGTGTGAATGACAAACATTGAAATGCAAAACACCAGCTGGCATTGTTTCGCTCCGTCCTCTGTTGCTTTCATCGTACAGCGCACATCTTCAGTCTGGCTTTCTTTGCTCTGGATTCAAACCGGCTGCAGCCTTCCAGGCCTTTCTCCTCGCCTCTGCTTATCAGTTTACACAGCTGTTGCTCTATCCCTCACCGTCCCATCAGTGTGTGTGAGCGTGCTTCACTCAGTGGGATGTAGTTTGTTTTCCCTCTAGCTCTGAGTTGGCTGTTTGCTTGAAAGCGTTTATAAGTGATAAAAGGCTGTTTACTCTTCTCTGTTCCAGTTTCAGAGGCTGAAAGCTCCGTTTGGCTGATAACGTCTCCATAGCTCTGCTGATATTTCTCTGCTGTGCCTGTACAGATATTACACAAATCGTTGATGTAAAACTTGCACAGCAGGGATTTTCAAAATGCACTCCTAGATTACTTGCTATAGTATATTTTGCCTGAAAGCATTTGAGATTAGAATTATGTTACATGGACTGGTAAACCAGTTCATCAGCCAGAATCAACCAGTCCTAAGCATGTAGGCACATCTTTAGGTAGGCCTGCCGCGATAAACAATAAATCTATTAATCGCATGATAAATGAAAATTATCGACCTCATTTTCATTTATCAGCTTTATTGTTTCTTCATGTCTCTCTCTTTCTACTGAAGACACTGGATGACAAAAGGCTCAACTCCGGTGCTCTTCGCTGACCCCTTCCCTTTCTCTTTAAAATCCATTTAACCGTCCAAAATCATGCTTTTGGATCGTTAAAAGCTAAGCTACGAGCTAAGCTATCAGGCCGACCTCGGGAAAAAACCTCCGTCTTGTCGAAGCTCCAAAATTCACAGTTGAAACTCATGCCTTCATGTAAAAAGTTGTTTTTCTCTGCAAAGAGAAGCTGAGAACTTGTTTACTGATTTTTTATTAAAAGCTGTGTGTGAAAAATGCTATGCTAAAGAGCTCAAACCACACCGAGCGTCCGCCATTTTGAGAACCGAAGAGAGACAGCCCATGTCACGTTAAGGGGCCTCCCTCCCATTTTTCTTAAAGAGACATGCTGCTCCCTCACTATCCATCCTTCGGTTCAAACAGTCTTACACTGCAATCCGGTGGTCAAAAAAGGTACTGTACTCAAAACAAATTACCCAACATTTCTTCATAAATTTGACAATAATTACTAATTATTCCCACACTACACTTCCATTTTCTTACTTGCACAAACAAAGTTGTATGAATAATTGTGTTGTTTTTATGATGGAGCAATGTCAAATCCAACAGGGACATTGGAAAGCCTTTGATTTTTCAAAATGTGGAAGAAAAAGTAAAAAGTTTTGTGCACAGTCTTATAGATTTTCACACTGCCTACTTTGAGCATTTGTCCAAATTCTGTCAATCATTCCTTAATCACAATTTTGCAGATTGTAATTGTTATGAATAATAAACTATCATAAGAACCACAAACTAAATAAAAAGCAACTTTTACATAGCAGCCTGACTTTTCTGATTTCTAACAACTGGCTTCAGTCGTAGAAAAACTATAAAGCGACTTCTACTTGTGGATGTTCATCCATCCATCCATTATCTTTACTCGTTTATTCCATTTTGGGTCACGGGGGTCGCTGGTGCCCATGTCCAGCAATCACTGTGCGAGGGGCGGGGTACACCCTGGACAGGTCGCAAGTCCATCACAGGGACACATAGAGACAAACGAGACAAACAACCATTCACTCTCTCACTCACACCTAGGGACAATTTAGAGTTACCAATCAGCCTAACATGCATGTTTTTGGTCTGTGGGAGGAAACCGGAGCACCCGGAGAAAACCCACGCATGCACGGAGAGAACATGCAAACTCCACCCAGAAGGCCCCTGGACCGGGGTTTGAACCAGGGACCTGTTCGCTGAGAGGCAGCAGCTCTACCAGTTGCGCCACCGTGCTTCCCCTTGTGGATGTTCATTAGATTTAATTTAAAGCCAAACAATTGTGCTTTCTTAACATCTTACTATATCTGGGGTTGATTTAAAACAATCAGCTACTGACACTGAATAAAACATCATCTCTGTATCACCTTTCTGTGCCGAAAAAAAAAAAACAATTATTAGTTTACCAAAGACAAACAATGAAGGATACAGTCCTTTCCGGGAAAGAGGACTTTGTGAGAGATCATTTCGGCCATTATGCAGCCAACTGACCACAGGTCCACTGAAGCAGAGTGTTACAAGAGGAAAAGATTTAAGAAAACCAGCAGAAGCATCAATGGATTAAAGACTTGAGGCAATAAGAAAAAAGATCAAGAATGTTATTTTGTCATCTACTTTTTGGAGCTTCTGTTAAGATCATGTCATATTGTTGCAGAGTAAAATTCTTAAGAACGTCCTTCACTTGTCCTCTCCTGTCGATGTTTGAACGATACAACTTATCTCACGTGGTTGCACCTACCATTCTCCTTGTACTTCATGCCCAGGATGACCTCTGGGGCTCGGTAGTATCTGGTTACCACGTAGGGGGTCATCATGAAGTTGGTGCAGGCTGTCCTCGCCAGGCCGAAGTCCAAGATCTTCAGAGTACAATCAGACTTCACTACTATGTTACTAGGCTTCAGATCCTGAGGGGACATAAAATCTATAAATCTACAGGAAAATATGCAAATGAGAAAATTGCACAAGCTAACAGTTTAGAGAGAGCCGGGTGGTTAAAACTTAAACAATCAATTTTACAGTCAGACACAAAAAATGTTATCACAATAGTCCTTGAACGTTATTAATATAAAAGTGTTATAGTATTCCTAAAAGTATTGCTGTAGTGTGAAGTACCATTCTCTGCCTGACACTGTAGGGTCAACAGCACAATCGTCCCCTGTACAGTAGTCCCTCACTACTTTGCGGTTTAACTTCCGCGGACTCACTATACCGTGGCTTGTCATCACACATTAACATTTTTTTTTTTTTTTTTATTGTACAGGACACGATTGTCAACTTTAATGTTACTCATGTGATTGGGACAGTACTGGATGCAGTATTATACAGTAAAAAGTTAACGAAAAATAAAATACTTTGGACAGACGCCACCATTTTGTAGTTTTCCCTCAATAAGCCTACACTGTATCCCTGCTCATAACTACATTTCCCAGAAGCCAACAGAGCCCCCCCTGCCCAGAAGCCCCTTTTCCTTCTGCTGAAATACTTGAGGGAAAGTTTTGATCTGATCGGACAAAGTTTGACACTTATTACAGTGACTTCAGCGCCCAGCGGAGAGCCACACGGAACTGGAGCAGAACTGGAGTAGAACCAGACCTCCAGACCCAGTGGTGAATCTTCAGAGCTGGTAGCTGGCCAACGAGGACTTACGAGTGGGGAAGCGCACCGCCAAAGGTCCAGCGCTGTTTCTGGAGCCCATTGGAACTTTTGTCATCCAGACTTGGACTTAATCGACCACCTCCGGTCCGCACCAGCCAACTGAAGGTCTGGCCCCACCCAAAATGTGTTTCAGCGCTCAAGGACAGCACTGAACTGAACCAGAACCCCAGACTCAGCGGAAAACTCAAGAGCTCCTAGCCAGCCCACGAGGAGTTCCAAGAGGGGACGCGCGCCGTCCAAGGTCCGCCGCTCCACCGCTCCACCTGGAGCCCACGAGGACCTTTTTCCTCTCTTTCAACCGGCCGACGAGGACCTCCGAGCGGGGAAGTGCTGATAAGTAAAATTTAGTAGCTACATATCTTGTTAAAATTAGTAGGTTTAATTGTTTAGAAGATTGATTGTGGACTACATTGCTGCTGGGTACGTCAAGTTCAAGAATCTCTATTATCCCCGAGGGGCAATTAGTAGTTTCACAGTCAAGTAGGCACACAAAACACCCAAACTAGACAAGACATTAAGACATTAAAATAACAGTACAGAAATGATCAGTGTTCATTGAGAAGCCTGATCGCTACAGGGATCAATGGGTTTTTTAGTCTGTTCATCCTACATCTGGGCTGCAGATACCTGCGTCCAGATGGAAGCAACCTGAACTCACTGTGGAGTGGATGATCAGGATCTGCCAGAATCAGCCTGGCCTTGTTCACTGACCTCGCCTTGTGCAGGTCAGTGAGGTTCTGCAGGGCTATGCCAGCAGTTCTGCTGCACATCCTGACAATCCCCGAGAGTTTGTTCCTGTTTTTGCATAACAATCCAAACCAACATCTGCAGCAACGGAACCGAATCGGACAGAACAGAGTTGGACCAGAACCGAGAGCTGCTGTTCTGCAGAGCCAGTAAGTAAAATTTAGTAGCTACATATAGAGTACTGTACATATGTTGTTAAACTGATGTAGGTTTAAGAGTTTAGAACATTGCAAGAGTGTGGGAGGGGTTTATAAAGCCTTAATATATATAAATACTAAAATAAATATAACGTTGCTACGTCGCAGAATTTCACTTTGGGGTTTGGAACCAAACACCCGCAATAAATGAGGGACTACTGTACTTACTCTGTGGATGATGCCGGCGGAGTGTAGGTGCCTGATGCCACAGAGGATCTGGTAGAGCAGGTAGGACATCCTCTCGTGGTCCAGATCCATGTGGATCACCTGACACAGGCTGGCATCCATCAGCTCCATCACCAGATACCTAAGAAAGAGGAGGGTTAAAGTAAACGTGTTAATGTGTAAAAATAAAAAAAGCACAGAAGCTCACAAACAGAAAAGGAGAGTACTGAACAGTTATTTGGAACAGCGAAGGAGGTTCATAAGTAAATTAGATTTTAGTTAAACTGAAAAAAATAAACGTTTTAAAGACTTCAGCTAGGAGCTGTTTTAAAGAGACCCTCCGCTGCCACTCACAGATCCTGGAATTCCTCCAAAGACTTCTGAGGCGTGAAAACATTGATCAGACGGATGATCTGCGAGCAGAGAGACAGGCCATTAGTTCACTTTGTTCTGCTCACATTCACTTCACTCGGAGGGAGAAACTGTATCAGCAGCGCAGAGTAGACTCTTTTCTTCTCCCAGTCAGTGCTGTTAACGCTTCAGCTTCCAGTCAGAGTCCAACAAACACTTTCATCAACGGTTAATACAGTCAACATTTCTGAACAGACTGTAATATGTTTGATTATCTCGCAGAAATGATTTAATGGCTGCCTAAAGAAAAATACATTCTTGTATAAAAATCCCATCCTTACATTTTTGTGGTTGACACATTTGAGCAGCACCAGCTCCCTGTAGGCTCGCTTTGCATGGGTCTGGTTCTGAAAGGGCCGGCAGAGCTTTTTCACTGCCACTGGTATACTGAGGACTGTATCTAGGGCAGAGCTGGACACATAAAGGAGAGAACAGAGACAAAGATCAGCAAACAAATGCATCAGTCCAGAAAGAAAAGAAAAAAAACATTTATCTGCCCCGAGGTAAAAACAAAAGTCTGAATTTGTTTTGCTCACCGAGGCACAAAAGAGAAACAAGTGCAACACATCAACGCAACAAAAAAGTTATAATAAGGTCAATTTATTTTGTAGCCTTCAGTGACAAGTTCGTTCTTTACGATCAGAAATATAAAACTCATAAAAACATGTCTGATGTTGGAATAATAAATGAATAATACAATGACATGACACCAGTCTGAGCCCAACAAGACGCCAAAAAAGCATTTTTAATTATTACTCCACGTGTTAACATTACACCACACATAGGTTAAATAAAGAACAGGCTGAAATAATTCATAATGTAGACCATAAAAGAAGAGCACTGTAATATGGCTCAAGTTTTAAAATACCAGCATTGTTCACGCAACTGTTTTAATGTATTCATTCATTCATTCATTCATTCATTCAACCTTTATTTCTACAGGTTAGTCTCATTGAGCCTCGAGGACTCATTTACAAGAGAGACCTGTTTGTGCTCTTTCAAAATGTATTTTTATCATCTAATGATTCTGGAGCATTTTTATTTCTTTGTTATTATTGTTCATGAAATATTGCTTGAAACGTGACATTCAAATGGAAATTCAACAATTTCCTGTGGGACCAATAAAGTTCTATCTTATCTTATTTAAAAAAATATATATGTTAAATGTCCAAATCTAAATTCAGCTAAAACCATATAAAAAATGTCACACAAGTTGAAAATCTCTTTTTGACTCTAAGCAGACGATTTTTAACTTGACTGGAGATTAATGACAGTAAATAACAGAGGGATTTGTTGTGGGGTTTGTTTGCCTTTTTTATTTTTTTTACTAATTTATGTTGAACTTTGTTGCAATTTACTTTAAAATGAGATTCTTGCAATTACTGTAACTTTATGTTTTAAAAATATACAAACAAACAAACAAAAAAGTGAACTAGCTACTGCATAATCTGCTTTATAAAGGAGATGTATGTGACTCTATTCACGTGTGTCCAAGAAACTAAAGACTCTTATTTGTGGATTGGTGACAACAGAGAGAAAGTTCTGTATCTTGGTACATTTTTGTGAATATGTTGGCACTGTTCTGATTTTATTATGAACACCCACATATTTCAGATAATTGTCTAGAAATGAGAAAAAAAAATGTTGAATTTGGTAAATAAAAAAAACATTTAGGAGAAATAAAGAGTGTGTTAGCCAGAAATATTAAATGTGTATACCGGTATTTATAATTGATATAACACAGTATTAAAAAATGCATAAAGTTACAAATGTTGTTTTTGATCTTGATCATCACCATCTTCATCATCATCATCATATTGTTGGAGTCAGCTTCCCCATCATCACAGACATCTACACCTCTAGATGCAGGAAGAGGTCCACCTGCATCATGAAGGACCCCACTCACCCAGCACACACTCTTTGCCCCGCTCCCCTCAGGAAGGAGGTTGAGGAGCATTAAGTGTAGAACCACTAGACTGAGGAACAGCTTCTACCTTGAGGCTGTTAGACTCATGAATCTCTAACCAGAATAATCATTGTGAAAAATCACATCAAGTTGCTGCTGATCCGTTTCATATTGCTGCTGATATGTTTCATGTTGCTGCTGATCTGTTTCATGTTGCTGCTGATCCGTTTCATGTTGCTGCTGATCTGTTTAATGTTGCTGCTGATCTGTTTCATGTTGCTGCTGATCTGTTTCATGCTGCTGCTGATCTGTTTCATGTTGATGTGTTCATGCATGCTCATCTGCTCACACAGACTCATGTTCGTGCTGCTGTTCAGCGTATTGTTTTTATGCTATTAGTGCTTAGTGTATATTTAGTTGTTGTTTTTCTTAGTTTATATCTTAGATCTTATAACTGTTTTTATTTTACATTTTATTGTTGGATGTTACTGGGACCCTGTGTACATAATTTCATTCCACCACATGTGGTGCGAACGACAATAAAGAATATCTGAATTTGAATCTGAATATGTTCCCAGGATTTCATGAAAACAAAATTCCCTGGGTTCTCCCTGAGTAAATCCTGAAATTCCAGGAGAAGTTTCAGTCTCACAAAACTCTCACAACTGGAATGGAGCATTTTCAAATGGAAGCATTTTAGGTGGCACGCAGAGTCACATTCAGAGATGACAGTACTGTAGCCTACAGTACGTGAATACAGAATCATTCCTAATAATTAATTATATTGTATAACAGATATTAAGTAGCCACCATAGCCAGTCAATAAGGACCCATGTATACATGACCTATGTGCACTGTAGAAGCAGAACATTGATATTAGCATTATTACATTTACACGTTCAAATCTCAGAAAGATCATCTTTAAATCAGCAGATCAATGTTCAAATTCCCTGATTTGTCACAGTTTTTTTTTTTTTTTTTTAATGTTTTTCTCAAATTCACTAAGCTTTCCCAGTCTGGAAAATGTGAAAGTAATTTTCCAGGTTGTTCCCTGATTTTCAGAGTTGCTTGGACCTGCACCAGGTTCTCACACATTTTCCACTTTGAAATTACAAACTTCTGGAATTTTTTTAAAACTTTGAGTTAGTTTTAAAGCCATCATTTAAGACAAAAAGTCTTTAAATGTATGAATATATTATCACAGTGGTGGAGTTTTATTATCTGTATGGAAAAGGTTCTTATTCTGCAGTCAAATACCACACAACAGTCCACCATAAGGGGGAACTTGGGGTTCAGTCTTGTCCGAACATCTACGTATAGAGGGAATGTGGATTGCAAACGTTGTCATTAGACCTTGCTAAAACCAAATTTCATACTGTGCCATAATTGTTTAAGACTCTGCACAGACCCTGACCTAAATGTGACAAAAATGTTCAAGAAGAATCGTATGCATCTGTGACATTTTCATTATGAAATTACCTTTCCAAAATACATCGAGTCATTGAAAGCATACGGAAGGCAGAGAAGCATCATGGTAAAACACAAATACTGTAACAAATAGGCACAAGCTTCTTACCAGACGATGCCTTGGGCCCCGGAGCCGATGGCACGAAGCTGCTGGTAGCGCTTGAGGACAGTGAAGGTGGAGTCTCCCACCTGGACACTGTAGAACTGTCCGTCCGCCTCACTCATCCTGCTGAACAGTCAGGACCACCAGGACTGTCTGCAGAGTCACATGGACACACATCAGATTACCACCTAAACCCAACACATCAGTGAGATCAGGTCGTTCCACTGTTAGAGGATTACTCAGTTGGTTTTCAGATCGGTATGAAGCCAGACCATCGCGGCTGCCCAGTTTGGTCATCAGACAACACTTGGAGTGGGTTGTTGCTGACGTCAAAGCTGTTAAGTGTTTTGGTGTGCGACTGTGAGCGAGCATCATGGAGAACAGAGGAGGCTGACAGCCTAGTGTTCCTGAGGCTCTTCACTGCCATCTCCACACTCAGGCTCATCCCCAGTAAACACACACACCAACACACACAGGACATGGTGCGAGAATGTCCCGAGCACATGCATGTTAAAGAAACGTGATGCGTTTGAGGGTTCATAACAAACATGGGCAGTCTTTGCACTGATTCGGTCAGGAAGTGGAGTCGTATTATTCTTGGCACTTGTGTGTGTGTGTGTGTGCGTGTACTTGTACGTGGGCGAAAACACACAAATGTGTAGCTATGCAACAGCGAGCAGTCACGGTAGTTATCATTCGCTCCGAAAACAGCCACAAGTTCAACTGAGGGTGATTTTTTTTTAAATATTTTTATTTGTATGACATGATAAAAACACGAAGTCTGGCTGGTTTGGATGCTCGGGGATAAAACTGTAAACAAAAAGCAGCGACGGAGGAGTGAGATGTTAAGATAGAACGGAGCCTGAAAACATTTGATGCTGCCTCATCTGTGAAACTACTCTGGTTTACACACATGCTAAAGTAAAAAAATTAAATAGCAAATCTAAAAACAGACGTTCAAGATTAAATATGATTAAATATGTTGTCAGTGATTAGATTTTTAAAATACTTAAATAAGCAACGGCACTATTTTGTAAATTATTTAATGCTCCCTTTTTATTTTTTCAGACGAGATGAAATTACATCAGACTAACTTCTACGGCTTTTAAAGAATTTTGTTTTTCATTTACACTTTACAAACTGGCATTTCCTACAAACATGAGCGCAGTCTTGCTGAGAGCATGAGCCGAAAAAGACAGTTTCTGAAAGGCAGCACGAGTTGCTCCAAAACCTGTAAATATAATTCAGTTTACTGTAAATCTTCAGAGGTATTTACTGTATTACGTGTACTGATGCTCCCGGCACCACCGCAGGAAGACGACTGGCTTTTAAAGAAAGAAGCAGACTTTGGCCTGGAAGATGCTGCGTCCATAATCTCCAATACGAGTTTGAAAACGAGATTTAGCTAAACAGCTAATCTAAAAAAAAAAAACCAATAGGGTCAGAAAATTTAGTGGCATTTCTGAATTTAGAAAGGTCATCTCCTTCACATACAGTAGTAAACTTTATTTTGTATTTACAGATTCCTTAATGAAGTGTGGTCCATGATGGTCCATGTGGGATTGTGTTGAGGAAACTACCTTTGTGTTAATACCAACAAAGTCCATGCTCAATAATCCAGGTATACAATCCAACAATTTTCAGTCAGGTCATCAGGACAGTTTCTTTTTTTTTTTTTTTCTGAAATGTTTCACCTTCTATCCAGAGGGCTTCATCAGTCAAGGAAACGCACAACACAAAACTGATTCTTCCCCCAACAGTTTACTCCAAAGTGGACCAAGCCAAAGAGACCAATCTTAGCACCAATATAACTGGTTTGTTCCACTTTGGGGGAAGAATCAGTTTTGTGTTGTGTATTTCCTTGACTGATGAAGCCTTCTAGATGGAAGGTGAAACGTTTCAGCAAAAAAAGAAACTGTCCAGATGACCTGACTGAAAATTGTTGGTTTGTGGTAATGCATTCACTGGACTGGGACTGTTGGAGACTAGTTAGCAACAAAATTTGGTACATTTCCATCTCCCTGACTGCTGACTGTTCTGACCCTTTAACTTCGCCTCGACCCTACCCGAGTCAGCCCGGCGTGGGTTCAGTCTTTCCATTGGGAGGTGCCACCCACTTTCAGCTCTGTTCTTAGAAGCTACTCATTCCAAGCGTTCCGGGTGGAGCTGAAAGTTTGACATCAGCAGACTGCAGGACAATGACTGGCCAGCAAGAAACGTCAATCATGAGAGTGTCTCCGTCACAAGAATCAAACCCACCATTTTATTTTTATTTAATTTTTATATATACAGGTAAATCTCATTGAGTCACAACGGATTATTATCAAGAGACCTGTTTTGGGAGCAGATGGAGGGAGTTAAGGGTGGAGGCAAGTGTGGGTGTTTCACCTTTTCTACCCACATTTAATGTTGTCAGTCCAGGGAATCGAACTGACAACCTTCTGATTACAGGCCCACCTTCTCTAACCACTGTGCCACCACTCCCCAAAACCTCTTTAAAATCTCCCAAACACACCTTTGTTTTTAAACTTTCCAAAAATATATAACACATCCACCAAACTGGCAACACTGTGGTGGTATGAGGAGGTGGAGACGTTCCCGTGCTTTTTGGCTGACGACAGAATCCAAACGGAGCTAGACCAAATGGACTCGACTTACAGTCTCCGACTGCTGGAGGGAAGGTGGCCTCAACTCAGCCATGGCAGAAAAAGGTGGCAGAGAATGGCGAGTGTTTTGTGACTTTACTTCTCTTTCATTTACTCATTGGTGGAAAGTTTTTGGCGGCTGTGCTATGACGAACCACCTACGTTGAGGCAACACCCAGTTCCATGTGAAACTACCAGATCTAACACAGTATAGAACTGAATCTGGTCCAGTTAGGACGAAGTGAGTCCTAGTGACACTGGACAATGTCAAAACTGGATCTGTAACCAGCATGATGTGTAGCTGCGTTTTGACTCAGCACATTTTTGAAAATACCAGTCTATTTATTTGTCCATGGTTTGCAAAACTGTATTTTCGGCCGTGCCGTTTTTTTTTTTTTTAACCACCACATCAAACTTTGTACCTACTTTGGCAGCTGGCCCCCATTTTTATGATTTAATCTAGAAGAGAAAAACTTTTGAAATAAAAACGGGCAGATTTGGAACAGTCGACACGGCGTTTAGAACTGGACATTAAGAGCCGAAGCCTTGTACGTTTTCTATCACGAGGAACGATCTCGTATCAGATAGATTTACGTAAATTTAAAAAGGTTTGCGACCGGTTCAAGATGACTGTTTTGAGAGAAAATTTGTGCACCAGTTTCTTCAGCTTGTTCAAAATTCAAGTGAGCAGACTGCAAACCTCTGTGACCCACTCAGGGAAATTGAAAACGCCTGAACATTTCGAAACATTATGGAGAAACCCACAAATGCCGATTGCCAACTAGTCAAGAGTCGCAACCTACTGTGACATTTCATTTAAGATATTAAGTAAAGGGAGGCAGCATCATCCTTTATGAACTGTGGGCCAACAACTACAGCAACAATTTAAAAACATAAAAGCATCAGACGTGTTTATCTACGTTCTTCCTCTGCTTTCCTGACAGTTTCTCCACCTTTTACATCCAGCTGGCTCTGTTACCACACCTAAAAGGCAGCGCTGCAAAAACCGTCACTTCCTTTCCCCTCTCCGAGTGGTCTTTTTATTATAGTTGTTTTTATGCCACTGGCATCTCCTCTCTTCTCTGGTCTTTTCTGGACTTCAACCAATTTCCTCCACGAACAGCCTGGCAGATGCATTTTTCAAAATAAAAACTGTGATAATAACATACAGGCAGCCATGCGTCATCTACACCCCCCCCCCCCCCCCACACACACACACACACACACACCAAGAAAATATTAATCCTAATGTTGTGACTGTACATTTGAAAAAATGTGAAGGTTTTGTTTCAATCCGCAATATAAATTAGACGCCACGTTATTTAGGCTTGGAAGCCGCAAATCATCAACATTACTATTTTCATATATTTACTGTTATTTTATTCTAATTGAATGTCTGATCTATTGATTCTCGTACACACGGTTGGGGGGGGGGGGGGGGTCTAATCATAAGAAAGACTCGTCTCGCCCAAAATAAGAGCAACAGATGTACAACTGTTAACTTGCCAGCAAAAAAACCCGCCATCAGATAAAGAGGAAATCTGTGATATTCAAATAAGGATTGATTAGTTTAAATGGCCCTGTGATGGACTTGCGACCTGTCCAGGGTGTACCCCGCCCCTCGCACAGTGATTGCTGGACATGGGCACCAGCGACCCCCGTGACCCAAAATGGAATAAACGGGTAAAGATAATGGATGGATGGATGGTTTAAATGGAAAACCTGGAGCAGTGAGGTTGCACTGCAAGGTGGATGAGTCACGGCGTTCACTATCATATTTCTAACCCTCAACGATGAGATCATGACACAGCTGCTCCTGGAAATGTGGATGAAAAAAAAAAAAAGCTAAGAAAAGAACAAAACAAAAATGGTGCTACAATAGTCATTTAAAATACAAAGAAGGCTGCTCTTGAGCAACATCTCCACAGACATTATTAAAGCTGTGTGCAAGTAGCAAGCCGTGTTTTCAGTTCAAATTAGCACAGCGAATTGCTTTCTTTTGGTGAACGGTTTTATATTTTTGTTTCTCCACTATAACGAACGACGGGAGATTTAGGATCAGTTTTGAGTCCAATGTGTGTACATTGAGAATGTATGCATATTATTACAACAAAGACATTTAGGGAATCTTTATGAGAAATAGTGTCTAAGTTTTCAAATCAGTTCTGGTTACAAATACTTAATAGCCTGTATTAGGTTGGTGGGTGCCCTTTAAGCGTTTGGCTTACTGTCTTGCTCAAGAGCACTGGTCAAAAATCAAACAAATGGTAAAGCTTTACAAACTAAATACAGAACTCTTAGCTTAATTCAATGCATTTAGGCTCTTTTTCAAAGGAGATTTATAAAGACGAAAAACAGATTCTAGCAATGCACCGATGAATCGGACGGACGATTTATTGGCCCCGATTTCCTTAATTTTGGGAAATCGAACGATAATTGCATGAGAAACTGATTTTTTTGTTTTTTGTTTTAACAATTGTCTGAACTTCATTTATATTTCAGAGCACTACCTCATGGCCAGTTAAAACAAGTTCGTATTGTTTCTAGAATAATGTTCCAAGGGTATGTTTTCAATAAACTAATATTGGAAAATTGAAGGTGCATTGTGACCTTATAACACCTGACAGTGTTGATTATAAAATAAAATCGGAATCGGCAGGTCAGACTTTTTAGAAATTGGTGATCGGCCAGAAAACTGCAATCGGTGCACTCCTAATAGCTTCTTATCTAATTTTGATTCCATGTTTCATGTTTTTGTTCCTGCAGGGAGAGCTGATAGATGCAGGTGACCTTCATAAAACCAAAACTCAAACTACTCACACAGTTAAGAGTCCAATTCAGTCCAGCACAGCTTAAGGTTCTGATGTGGCCGGATGGTAGTCAGTTAAGCTGGTGACGACAGTGTAATAACCTTAAACCTTAAACAAAGTCATTGTTTTGTAGCAGGGTTACAAAACACATCTACAGCCAGGATGCTGCTGCAGCTTCACGTGTCAACTCAGCATTTAGGGGCAATCTTGAAAAGGATGTTGAGATAAGTTAACACAAAAGAACTTAAGATGATGTATATTATAAAATGGGTTTGCACGTTAAATTGTTTATGAAAGTCATGACATATTCACACAGTGCACATATGGTGGGCGACTCTGATGATTTTCTGACTTAAATAAACTAAATATGGGTGAAAACAGCACATGGTCTCACCACACCTGGTGTTCATAGAACAGGTGTAACCCTACTAAAGTACTATTTAAAAGTGCTATGTGTACACCAACACCGAGTGTCAGCCATGTGCATTCATAAACCAAATTGAAGTCAAACAGTATAAAAACAGACATTTTAAATTTCAACAACGCGCATGCGCACTGTGAAATACACGCAATTCCAGTATGACACATCGAGTCCGCAGCGCTGCTGGCATTCGGTGCTTTAACAATCACAAACCATCGGTTTACATTGCTAAAGTTACACCTGAATGAACCACATCGCCGTATACACTTCTCCGTTTACATGGCTCATAGTTAGCGGGGCCTACACGACCAGTCTTTCCCAGCTCTATCGGCAGCAATGCGGTAGTCGGGCCGCCGGGGCTGAACTGGAAACCCTGGCGGTCCAAGAGGCGAGAGGAGGCGGTGGCGGCTGCAGCGGCAAGCTTACCTTCTCCGTTCGCGGCTCCCAGGGAACTCCCATGCGTCCAAGACGCGGCTGAAACTCTCTTCCAGTCTTTCAGGGACCAATGTGACTCGGAAAAGTTTCGGAAAACCACCGTTCCGACTGTCACGACCAACAGACCTTCCTCCGGTTCTTAGCTAACTAGCAGCAGGGAGCCACAACAAGCAGAGACCGAGCACTCAGTGACGTCATCACGCACGGTTTACGTAAACTCACTGTTTTTTTTGTTTTTTTTTCTCCATGAAAACTACAGAAGCATCACTTTATATGAATATCAGTTTATTTACTGGAGTTCATATAAATAATTTCCATTTTCTATTACAAGACTTTTTCATTTATTATGTTCTGTTCAAATAAAGGGCACGCTCTGCTGTAAAATCCTAATAGAGCTTTAAGATTTTTGAACTTTCATCCATACATCCATTATCTTTTTCCTGCTTCTTCCATTTTGGGTCACCGGTGCTCATGTCCAGCAATCACTGTGCGAGGGGCGGGGTACACCCTGGATGGGTCACAAGTCCATCACAGGGACATATAGAGACAAACAACCATTCACTCTCTCACTCACACCTAGGGACAATATAGAGTTACCAATCACCCTAACATGTATGTTTTTGGTCTGTAAGAGGAAATCGGAGTACCTGGAGAAAACCCACGCATGCACGAAGAGAACATGCAAACTCCACCCAGAAAGGCCCCAGGACAGGAATTTGAACCAGGGCAACCTGCTCACTGAGAGGCAGCAGCTCTACCAACTGTGCCACCATGCTGCCCCTGTCATCACACTTCTTCTTAAAAATGGGCATGAGCACACTTCTCCCCCATTCCTCAGGCATTTTCTCACCCTCAAATATGCCATTGAATATTTGAGTCAATAACCTCGCCGCCATCTCATACCATACCATACCATTTTATTTATAGAGCACTTAAAACAGCGACAAGGCCAACCAAAGTGCTCTCCAAGACATTTCCAAATCTCCACTGGTATGTTATCAGGTCTCACTGACTTTCCCTTCTTCGTTGTTTTCAGAGCTTTCTGAACTTCACCCTCACTAATCTTTCTCATTTTCTGATCTACAGCTTCTAGGACCTCTTCTCTTCTTTTTCTTTCATTCTCTTCATTCATTAGCTCCTCAAAATACTCCTTTCAACTTCCCATCATGGTCTCCTCATTTGTTATAGCATTACCATTCCTATCTTTAACAGGCCTAACTTGTTGCACATCCTTTCCAGCCTGATCCCTCTGTCTCGCCAATCGCTGCAAGTCCTTCTTGCTCTCTTTAGTGTCCAACCTCCCAGACAACTCATCTTATGGCTTCTGCTTTGCATTGGCTATCTCCCTCATTGCTCTAGGTTTCATTCCCTTAAGTTACAAGTCTCTCTTGTCAATGAGTCCTCGTGACTCAATAAGCCTAACCTGTATAAATAAAGGTTGAATGAATTGAATGAATGATGGTTTACTTCTTCAGCCCTCATTGTTTCATCTCTTCTTGGCTAACCTTGTTTCCTGCATTTCACTTTTCCACCACCAGGTCTCCTTATATTTTCTCTATCCAGATGACACACAAAGTACCCTCCTACCTGTTTCTCTAATTACTCTCGCTGTTGTAGCCCAGTCATTTGGAAGCTCTTTCTTAAATAGTAAATGGTAAATGGACTGTACTTGTATAGCAAATTTTTAGCTTATCAAGATACTCAAAGCACTATACACTACAATCTGTGCCCTCATTTACCCATTCATACAGCACTCTACAATATCTCTGCAAAGAATAATCAGTGCTTTATCACATTCACACACTGATGGGACACACATCAGAGGCAATGAGGGGTTCAGTGCATGTGACTGCTGGTAGAATTGAACCCCCAACTCTTTCTTTGAAGGGTGACTGCTCTAACCACTCAGCCACAGCCGCCCACTCAGAGCCTTTAACAGCTCCTCTCTGAATTTCTCACAACATTCTTCTTTTGTCAGTTTCCACCATTTGGTCTTTTTCACAACAACAATCATTCTACACAACCATCCACAATGTCTGGTCACGCTCTTCCCTGCTAAAACCTTACAGTCCCCAATCTACCTCAGGTTTCCTCTTCTACACAGAATGTAGTCGACCTGCGTACTCCTTCCTCCACTCTTCTAGGTCACTCTAGTTCCTCCCTCTTTTGGAAATAATGTTGACTACAGCCATTTCCATTCTCTTGACAGCATCCACCACCATCTGTCCTTCCTGGTTTCTTTCCTTGACACCAAACCTACCCATCACTTCCTCATCCCTTCTGTTTCCTTCACCAACTTGTCCATTCAGATCTGCTCCGATCACCACTCTCTCCTTCCTGGGAATACTCTCTATCACTTCATGCAGATCTTTCCAAAACGTATATTTCTCCTCCCCATCACCAACCTGTGGAGCATAACTACTGACAACATTTAGCATCGGACCTTCTACTTCTACCTTCAGACACATCACCCTATCTGACCCTCTTTTCATCTCTACTACTGTACATTCTTTGCCAACTCCTCCTTCAGGACTATGCATACTCCACTTCTCTGTCTATCCGCACCATGATTACAGTTTAAACCCTGCTCCAATGCTGCGAGCCTTGCTGCCCTTCCACTTGGCCTCTTGGACACATAAAACATCTACCTTCCTTCTCTGCATCATGCCAGCCAGCTCTCTATCGTTGCCTGTCATTGTCCCCACATTTAAAGTTGCCACCCTCAGTCCTACATTCTTGACTTTCTTCTTCTCCCTCTGTCTCCTGACACGTTTCTCTCCTCGTGGTCTTCCACTAACAGTAACACAATTTCCGCCAGCATCCTGTTTGTCAACAGCACCGGTTGCGGTCGTTAACCCGGGCCACGATTGAGCTGGTATGATGTCACTTAGATGATCTCGCATATTATTTTTGGCAGAAATGTTTGACATTGGATGTCCTTCCTGACATAACCCTCACCTTTTTCTCGGACTTGGGACCGGCACAACTGGTTTGTGCTCCCTTGTGGCTGGTTTCTAGAATCACCACAAACATGTCAGTAAAATGTTTTTCAAAAATTATTTGCAAAATTTAATTGAATTTATAGTGTGTACATTTGTAGTGTACTAATATTTAAAAAATAAATAAATAAATAACAGTATTTTTAAAAGTTTTAGAAGGTTTTTGACCATAAAATATACTCACTATGTAGTAGATAATATATTTAGTTATTTTTTTTAAACAGTCATTTCTGAAAGAAACACATTTATCATTAAACTCATTTACTGCACACAAACTGTTTAATACACACCATCAGGAAAAAGCAGTCTGTTTATATCACACACTGGGACTGAACTGAGCGATTTAGAAACAATTCCAGCTTCAAACATGTCAAAATTATTACCCCTTGATTACTGTAAAGAAAATGTAAATGCTTCAAGCAAAAATAAATAAAACAACATTTACAAATTAGATGTTGCAAAGACATTTTGGGTAAAATCAAACCCTTGCAAGTAAATAGAAAAACGTAAAAAAAAAAACACTGCTCACCTTGAAAACAATACTTTATCACTTTATTGATTCACAATTTATATTTACATAAGAAACACTTTATATAAAACAATCATAAAGATATCAACCAATCTCTTTAGCCCTTAAAAAACAAAATAATTCTTAATAAAATACAGATTATCACAAAACCCATACAAATGAAAAGAAAAGCAATAAAATCAGAAAAAAATCAAGTTTACTGACGGAGTGCTATTTTACTCACAAATGACAAGAAATACAGAAACTTTGAAAAAAATGTAGTGAAACATTTACAAACTGGTTCTGGACAATGCATTTTAAATTAAAATAAAATAAAAATATAAAATTATTGGTTACTGGGTCTCCAGGCACAGCAATCCATAGAATTTACAAATAAAATGACAATAAAATGTATATTTTAGATTTCTACCAGAAACTATAATTCTTGTTGACATTTGATGCAATGATGGGGTTCGCAAACCCTGATGTTGGTAATGAATTCATAAAGTAAAAGAAGAATTTTTGACCCTGTGACATACATTCATAATCCAAGTTTAGTGTCCTTATTGCACAGTCGTAAACACTTCAATAAAATATTTCAATAATTTTCTTCTACGTATGTTTTTTGGCTCAACTAGAACAAGGCACAGCAGGTTGTTTTGGCTGCATGGATGGTTTTTATAAACTTTTTCACAAGGCTTTGGTCAGATTTCACATTTCTCATATATTTATTTTCAAGTTAATTGTTTTTCCTCTGTCATTTTCTTGAGGTCTCATCCACACACACACACATGCACACACACACGCGCACACCTCTGTACATTACTCCAATTCCACCACACACTCACAAATGCACAGGATGTTTGATTGCACAGTTGCTCCGTAAATCTGGTTAAGCTACCTCGCTCTTCTCCCGGGGCTTTGCAAACTGGAATTATTCTACCGTCACAGACTTGGCCAAGTTTCTGGGACAGTCGACCTGAAAAGAGAGAGCAAATTGTTACAGAAAGGTTCATGGGGTGAATTAACTGTAGGCGTCTGGTATTTTACCAATGGCAATGTTCCACTTGGTTACATCGCAAGGGTAGGACTTAAAACTTGCTCTGCAACCAGCCAGCAGAAAATGTTGGTTCTGTTCTGGCTTCAACTTTTGGTAGGAGGTCTAGATTTATATGGTCTATGCTGTAGACATAACTCTCCCTCACGCCTTAGTGGAATTTAGAGTAACGAGTATGTTTTTAGATGGAAAAGAAACCCGGAGTACCCCGAGAAAACCGACACAAGCACAGTGAGAACATGCAAATGCTACACAGAAAGGCTTCAAGGAACCAAAGATGTTCTTGCTGTGAGGCAGAAGAGCTAACTACTACAGCAGGCTACAATAATATTTATTTTTCATTAGAAATTAATCTTGTAATTTAACAAATATTCAAACAGGGATTTGTTGACATATTTTGTACCATTTCATTGTAAACAATGCCATATAGCCATTGATTAATTTGAGCTGGATCGTGCCAGGACAGGATCTGGGAATGCTCTTATTTTGACATGGTGCATTCCAGTGACTGTTTGCTTGGATCCAGTAACTCTCAGGTTTACTAAAAATAAAGTTATGAACAAATATGACTGTCTTGAACGAATAAACTTATACTGGATATATAAACTACATAAACACTAATTTTAAACACAACAGCCAATTACGAGCTTCTTCATATCACGCACCAGCTGCCGGCCGCTTCAAACAAAGCATTTCTGCCTCTACCCTTAAAAATAGCCCCGCCCCTAAAAGTCCAAAGTCATTGCACATTTTTATATATAAAAAAAAAATAAAACCTCAAAAATATAATTAAACAGCACAACTACATTGCAAATCAGTTTGACAGTTTAAGTGAGTTATTAATAATATTTGATTATTTATTAAAAATACAAAGAGAGAAATGTTTGATGTGTATGATTCACATCACGTATCAAAACCACAATGCTAATTTGTCAAAATAAGAGCGATCAAAATGTCAAAAAGACAGTCCAGTTCATAAGGAAAAAAAGGCTTCTCATTGCCCTTAGTTGAACAACCAAGAATTGAAGCACCTGAAGGCAGCGGCAATCGAGTTTGAAGGAGGAGCGAGCGAGTGGTGTGGGTGAGTGCCGACTGTTTGACAGAAGGAGAGCTGCCCTACTCACACAAAGAGAGAGCTGATGTTGTTGCTCTCTAAAATAGTTATCAAATCAAATGTTTACAAATGTAGGTAAACATATTCAACCCGTTCAAATATACACCACAGACCACACACACACCCTCCAGCTCGTCCTCTATTGGCGTTATGGCATTGATCGGTTTACAAATGAAGCCCTGCTGATAGCTCTTTAAAGTTGGGGTAGGCAAAAACACAAAAACTTACATCGAATCCTCGCAGGACAGCCAGGTGGAATGAGAGCAGCTGCAGCGGGATGACGCTGAGGATGCCCTGCAGGCAGTCCACAGTCTGCGGCAGCTCAATGGTCTGGTAGGCGTTCTTTATCATCTCAGAATCTTCCTGGCAACACAGGATGATGGGTCGACCCTTTTGAAGAGAAACCAAGAGTTTAAGCTCATTTATACCGTTTGCTGTGTTTAAGCTAAGTCTCGGGCTCGTTTTCCCAATGGAAGGACCTACCGATCTGGCAGTGACTTGCTGCAGGGCGTTCTGACACTTGGTGTAGCAGGAGTCACGCATGATGACCATGATGACAGGCATGTGTTTGTCGATGAGGGCCAAAGGACCGTGCTTCAGTTCTCCAGCCAGGATGCCCTCCGAGTGCATGTAGGTGATCTCCTTAATTTTCTGCATTTGGAATACAATACCGTAATCTTCCATGAAAAAGATGTAAGCTGTCCGAGTTTACAGATGCAACATGTCAAATTATTTACACAGAACTGTGACTGAAAAGTTATAACTTGATTTTTTTTTTACTTTAGAGCTGACTGAGTGTCACAAGTAGTCTGCACAGATCAGGGCCGGCTCAAGCCTCCATGTGGCCCTAAGTGAAATTTGGTTTGGGGCCCTCTATTTCTGTAATAATGTGGATTACTGCAATTAACAGTCAGATGATCAGATCATTCACCCACCTAATATAAACTCATTGCAACTCTGACAGCCCTGTTTACATTATCCTATATGTATATATGTGGTAAAATAAATAAAATCATATAGAAATCATTACATAAATAAAAAAAATTAAATTCCACTTGGGGGGGGGGGGGGGGGGTCCTAGTGGCCCTGGGGCCTTAAGCAGCTGCTTAGTTTGCTTATGCCTTGGGCGGCCGTGGCACAGATTATGTTGTTTTAATAAACACATGAGAAATGCCAGAAACTTCAGTCTCAACATTTCAGAAATTAACTGGTGGGTTGGATCAAACTATACCAGTGGTCACATCTGGCCCATGGGCCTTGAGTTTGGCACATTTTCTCTCAGGTTATAAATACAACGTGCATTTATTTAAACTTATTTGAAACTTAAATTTTGTGATATACAAGGAGAAAATAATAACAGCTTAAAGACAGCTGTGAAAAATCAAACTCACCAGGGCTCCCTCAAGGCAAGTGGCGTAGTTGTAACCTCGGCCCATAACCAAAAGGGATCTTTGTTGATACAGTTCATTAGCAATGGTCTTGATCTTCTCATCCAGGGACAACACATTTTTTATCAGCTCTGTTGAGTGTGGAGGAAGAATGAGTCAGAAAGCCATCTTAAAGAGACACCATAAAGATGGTGGGTTTACACAAGAGGCCCAGCATATTCATCCACGTTTAAAGATTTAAAGTTTGCCCGCACACTGACCAGGCAGCACCTTGAGACCGTTGATGATCTCCAGTCTTCTCTTCTGCAGGGAGAGTCTGTCCTCACTCATCATCAGGCCAAACATGGTGAGAGCCACAAACTGACTGGTGTAGGCCTGGACACAACAAACACCAATTAAAAAAAAATAAAAATTCCCAAGTGGTCTACATTAGACAATGGATCATTACATTGCACCACATCTGTAACCACTGAGCTACTGCTGCGTTTCTATAACTTTATAAAAATACAAAAGCCACAAACAAACCAAGAGAAGCTTTATTTCCATATTTCAGCCTCAAGTCAGGCTAATTTAAAAATAAATGCCCATGGAAATGTTTTTATTAACCCATGGGAGCATACCTTGGTGCTAGCCACTCCTATCTCTGGTCCAGCATTGATGTGGACTCCACAGTCAGTTTCCCTGCAAATGGAGCTGCCCACGGTGTTGGTTATACCGACGGTTAGAGCGCCTCGGTCTTTGCAGTAGCGCAGAGCCATCAGAGTGTCTGCTGTTTCTCCTGCAGAGGCCCAGAAAAGGAGAGCTTATGGTCATTATGTGTGAATATAGCTCAGACAAAACATAAAAGGAAAAAAGGGCATGAGCGTGTCAACAGGTCGAGTCCTTTTCATAGTCGATGAGACCAGTGGTTCCCAACCCTGGTCCTTGAGGAACACCATCCTGCATGTTTTGGTTGTTTCCCTGCTCCAACACACCTGACTCAGTGATTTAATTACTTCATCAAGTTCTGCAGGAGCCTGTTAATCACCCGTTCATTCAAATCAGGTGTGTCAAAACAGGAAAACAACTAAAACGTGCAGGATGGTGTTCCACAAGGACCAGAGTTGGGAACCACTGGATTAGATGAAGAGAACATGTCTCCTAGTGGTCAGGACTGCCATTACTGTTACCTGACTGGCTGATGAAGAAGCACACATCGTCTCTGAAAACAGGTGTGTTGCGATCCAGGAAGTCACTCGCCAGCTCTACCATGACAGGAAGTTCGGTCAGCTCTTCAAGGAGCTGTCTGGTCTGAAAGCACCAAAAGCAGAATTCCTTTACATCATTCAAATACTGTTTAAATAATTAAACTTCCCCTGTGACGACTGGTTAATGTGTTTGATATGAAATGTAACTAGATAAATTGCATTTCCTGTGAAAATGCAGTGTGAATGCTCATTGTAGAAGAACTTGCTGAAAAACAGCTCAAATTATCTAGGAACAAATGTTGAAATGGAATAACAAGCCTAAATTAGCAGAAGAAAGCAGAAATAACTCATTTACTGAATTGGGTTTAAATAAGCAGAAATGAGCATAACAATTATGAATTTAGTAAAAAAAAAAAAAAAAAAAATACTGAAATTAACAAAAAATAGCTGAAAGTAACTGAAAAGGCAGAAAGAGGCTTAAACTACCAGATGAAAGCAAAAAGAGCTGAAATTAGCTAAAAAAAAAAGTAGAATTAGCTGAAAAAGCTAAAATTAGCATACAGTCAAATCATAGATGAAGTGGCAAAAAAAGCTGAAACTTGCAGAAATCAGCAGAAAGGAGCATAAACTGAAACTAGAGGAATTGCATTTCCTGCAAAAATGCAGTGTGAATGCTTATTGCAGAAGAACTTGCTGAAAAACAGCTGAAATGTAACTGAAATGGAAGAACAAGCCTAATTTAGAAGAAGAAAGCAGAAAGGACACATATTTGCTGAATTAGGTTTAAATGAACAGAAGTGAGCACAGCAATTTGGAAATTAGCTATAAAAAAGCTGAAAAGAGCAAAAAAAGAAAAGCTGAAAAGTAGATGAAAAGGCAGAAAGAAGCTGAAACTATCAGAAAGAAGTGGAAAGAGCTGAAATGAGCTAAAAAAATGTGGAATTAGCTGAAAAATCTAAAATCAGCATCAAAAGAGCTAAATAGTAGCTGAAAGAGCCAAAAAAGCTGAAACTAGCTGAAAAGAGCATGCAAAGTTGAAATTAGCAGAAAGAAGTTAATTACACTGAAAGTAATAGAAATAATCACAAATTAGTGGAAATTACCTGAAAAAGCTGAAATAAGAAAAAAAAAAAAAAACAGCTGAAATGTAGCTAAAAAGCAGAAAGATGCTTAATTTACCAGAAGTAAGTTGAGAGAGCATATTTTTTTGCTAAATTAAGCTGAAAAAAGTTGAAATTAGTGCAAAAAGTGTGGAATTAGCTGAAAAAGCTCAAATTAGCATAAAAAGCTAAATAGTAGCTGAAATAGCAGAAAAAGCTGAAACTTGCATAAATAAGCTCAAAGGAGTATAACAAACTGAAATTAGCAGGAAAAACGTTAGAAGAAGCACAAAAATTTTCTAGTTAGCAGAAGGAATCAGAAAGGAGTACAAAACAGCTGAAAGTAGCTGAAAAACAGCTTAAATTTGCACAAGGAAGCTGAAAGAAGCTGAACCAGAACAAAATGTGAAAGGAGCAGTAAAAAACTGTAAACAGAGCTAAAGATTTGAAGGATGTAAAATGAGCTCAGTTCATTTTCTATGAGGAAAAAAATGGCAGAAAAGGCTAAATATTTCAAAAAGCTAAAGTTTCACCAATACCAAAAGTCATATCAGGATTATCCTGAAAGAGCTGAACGTTTTGATGGATGATTTGTTGACATAGCTTAAAAACTGCGGGACGAGAATCATGAAAAAAAACGTACAGAAGACAAACGGATCACAGTGTGAATGCTTCATAAACATCCACACAGCTCTCTGGACTACAGAACGTAAAACAACGAAACACTACGTTGGTTTTACTCACGGCGACTGCAGCGTGGAAGCTGGTGCCACAACCGATCATGATAAGCCGCCTGCAGCGTTTGATCTCCTTCAGGTGATCCTTCAGTCCTCCAAGAACCACTTAGAAAGGAAAATAGAAAGCAGTACTATTTGTTAGAACAGCATACACTTGAACAATCTTCTCTTGCATTTAGGAAAAAGTGATTTTATTTATAAAAAAGGACCTCCATAAGCTCACATATCACGTGATTGCTCTGTCTTAAACTGAAAATAATTGTGGTTCAACATTCAAACCAACGTTTCAGTTGTTTCATTTACCCATATGTTTTACGCTCTAATTACTTTTGCATACTTTCTTATTATAATCTTTCATAAATACATTTTAAAAAACCATTCAGCTCATTCAAGAGATGGGCTCTGCAAATTTTAGGTTTTGTGACTTTTATACTTTTTCAAGGTACCACTTCACAATGAGGCTCCCCTTATAGATGTCTAATAAATAGTTTATAGATACATTTTTAATTCCTCTATTAAACCTTTATAAATCATTAATAACTGCTTATTATGCATTAATTAAGGGTGACAGAGACAGACCTGACCAGTTTGTTGCCAAACAGTGAGCCAAATCTGTCACCTATATATTTCATCTAGAATTGTTTCAGACTAACTTACTTCCTTGCGAGCACAATAAGCATTTGTAAACCTATTTTTTAGGATATTATATTAGATGTAGATACTTACAATGCAGTGATAAAGCACAATATTATGTGCTAAATAAATATGTTTACAAATGCTTATTGTGCTCACAAGGTAGTAACTTAGTCTGAAATGTTTAATATAACAACTTGAAATGAAATATATAGGTGAACAGATTTGGCCCAATATTTGGCAATAAACTGGTCAGTTCTGTCTCCATCACCCTTACTTAATGCATAATAAGCAGTTATTAATGATTTATAAAGTGTTTATAGAGGAATTAATAACGTATCTATAAACTATTTACTGGGTATTAGCCATCTATAAGGGGAGCCTTATTGTAAAGTGGTACCATTTTCAAAATATTTAACTTCATTTATAAATATTTTCCTCACAGAAATACACTGAGATGTTTTCACTTTTTTCAAAATAACGATTCTTTTTGAGATCTGCTTTTGACTATTTTTGACTTTTTATGTTGCGTTCAGTCTTTACCAAGCTTTTAGCTGCTTTAAGCTAGTGTACTCCTTCTTTTAGCTTTCAGAATTCAGTTTCTTTTTCTTCTTTTTTTTTTTCCTAACACTCAAAGAGTCTGACTTCCTGAAATATACAGGAAAAAAAATGGTGATTGCAAATCACTGATCACCTGTGTTGGTGTCAAAACAAATGCGGCCTCTCATCGTGTTCACCACCGACTCTGGCTGCTCAAAGATCTCCTTCTGCATGAAGGCTTCAAAGTTTCCTGCAAAAGAAAGAGAAGCGGTTTGTGGTGACATGCTGAATGTTCTCCTCCCAAACAGGAAGAAAACTGCTGAATACAAACTAAACATTTCCCAGCAGTGAAAGGAGTTCCTCTACTCAGCCAGCAGAGGGCGATCACACATCACCTCGATGTGATTCATCATGTTTTAACAGGACATTTATGACTCTGTGATGATGTCACTTAAATCAAAACTACAGAGTGAGGTTGATACAGAAGGGTGGTGTCATGCTGAGGCTGATCTGACCTTTCATGATCTGCTGCAGCTCCATCTGCAGGGTCTGAACTGCCCTCACTGGGTCTTCACCGGCCTGCCGGTTCATCCTGTGGATGGAGAGGTGTCCTCCCTTCACGACTGCGACATCATTGTCCTCCAGGTACAGCACTTTGTTGGTGTGCTCAATGATGGCGCTAGAAAGAAGTACAGAAACACAAATGTGATGATGTGTAACGCCGGGACGACTTGTTTGTTTTGTTCCTATCTTTCTGATCACGCCTGGAAGATACGGTGGCTGATGAGAGCGCGGAGTGACAAATGATGAAGAGCTCTGTTTGTTCTGCGTTCACCACAGGACAAGCGGAGAACTGCTTCCCTCACCTCGCGTCCGATGCGAAGTAGTACTCCACGGCGCTGCCGTCCCCGACAGAGCTGATGGCGTTGGAGCAGTCGGCCTTGTTGTGGCTGTTCTTCTCCTGCACCTCCTCCTTGAAGTGACCTAGAAAGCCCAAAAGTCAAGAGTCAGCGTTGTTCTATTTTTACTGACTCCAATGTCTTCCTCTTGGCTATCTGTTGAAGTAAAACAAAATAAAAGATTGTGAAGTTCAAAGAATGCATCAATCTTTTTAGATTGGCACTTAATCACAATTAAAAGGATAGCTGGATGTTTGCACATAGATAATGTTTCCCATGCTTTTTATGACACTGAACCAACAAAGAAACCAGAAGTGAGATTGGATGGTCTACTATCTCTTGCTCACTGCTGACTCATGAACCAAACTCATTTTGAAACTTTCAGGAAGTAATCACCGATTAGCATTGAATAACATTTTTTTTTTT